TACCTTCCCACCGAGGTGGTCCCTATTTATCTACTCGCATTTGCATGCTTTCGAACCGCTAGGTTGGCAGGAGCTGGGACAAGTGACGGGTGCTCACTCCGTCACATGAATTCGATCTTACGACTGCTTGGTCTTCTGACCTTGCAGCACACAGGCTTCTGCGGTTTAGCCCACAGCGCCACATACTAAATAGAGATGAACTATTTATAAAGTCATTTTGCGTACCATATAAGAAAAGCATCCTCTCTTTTCCTTACATCCCAAGCATGAGTATTCGAAAGTCCTATTTTAGGAGAACCTCTGAATAAGCAGAGCTTGGAACAATTATTATAGTTCCTGCAATCCCACAGCCAACGTGGCTTTTCCAAGATCTGCAAGTTAATACACACAGATGCACAGTTTATTCATGTTTACTCCAAAGGAAGACTCCCTGAGTTAAAAGAAGCAGATGTCCAAGGAGGAATGCATAGAATTAAAGCCAGCCGTGTTTCTTTTTTAAGCTAAAAGTGCTGTCTGTTAATTGCTACCTTTTTTTTGTTCTATCTAGAACAGCTTGACTCATTTTCTGGTAAAGCTTTTACAGAACATGGGTAAGGAATTGCTGGGTGTAACTGGTGGCTTGACACTGTTGCCAGTATGAGTGCACTTGTTTGGTGTGAAACCCACAATTTTATATGGTTCATTTCTCCTTAAGTGGGTGATGGCGTAGGTAATGATTGCCTACAGCTGTAATAAATACTGTTCTGTGGTTGTTTGATTCTTCACTTCTCCAACAAGGTATTCTTTTTTTGATCTAGGATTGGCCTACTGCCTGATCCTACCTCTGTGTGTCCCAGGAACGATAGGAAGGAGTGGGTCTCTTTCTGCAAAATATGCAATGCTTGATCAAGCTCCAGCCTCAGAGGGGAAACTCCACAGCTGAATCTCTCCTCCTGGCCAACAAGGAGGCCTTTGTGTGAGCCATCCCCCAGATGGCCATAAACAGAATATGAAAGAAATGTAGGCAAAATCAGGATTTTATGTCACATAACGAACCTTCTAAGGTGGTGTGTGAAGAACTGTTTCCAATCTGTGCCCCCCTTCAAATGTGTCAGAACCCCCCAGGGGGGCATATGGCCCCCATTGAGAATGGCTGCCCTAGACCATTTTTCTCAGCAACAGCACTAAATGAGACACAGGTGGTATTTTTTATATGAGAGCTGATTCAGTTTTTGAATAAAGATGAGATTTTGGTGTACTGAATGAAAAAGGGGGCTGGGAAAGTGGGTTGTGTATGTCTGCTTAAAGAAGCAGATCTGAATAGTGTCAGCATACAAATGGTGCTTCGCTTCCAATACTGTGATGGCAGCACCCTTTGTACGTTGGGAAAAACATGGAGGAGAGGTTAGCATTTTGCAGAACAGCAAAGAATAAACTCAGGAACCCCACAATTGTACTTTCTGAAAGAGAAAGATAGGAGCAGAATGTCCATGTCACCATGCTTCCTCCTTCACTTCAAAAGAAGTAGTTGAGGTAAATGCTGCGACTGATGCTGTCAAAGGCCATTAGGAGATCAAAGAGATTAGTTGGCTTGTGTTCCCCCTTCCTTTGCACTGATCAGCAAATAACCAGCAAGCATTTTAGAGCCTTTTTGTAGAAAAAAAATATTTTCCTTAAAAACACCCAAAAAAAGAGTGGAGGTGTTCTCACAAATGCTGGAATAACCAAATTGTGGGCCATGTTGCTATTTTAGACTTGTTAAAAAATGTCATTTCACAATAAGAGTAGAAATTTGGTTTGGTGGGCTCATGAAGTTGTATGGATGAGAAGTCTGCAGAAGGATTCCATGTTATAAATTTGCACTAAACTCCTGTCCCCTCAAATTATGCTTGTAATCTGTGCACTGCATGTTACTGTAAACTTGGCTGGACTTAACAAAAACACATGTCTAGACAACGCTGCATCTGGAGAAGCAATCCAAGCTCTTAACATTTAACTTTGGCAACAAATACCACCTGTATCTCCACCACATATATTGACTCTTCAGAAAGAGTACAGCCTTGTGTAGAACCAAT